TTTTATAATTTCATAATATGATAATATTAGCGCATGTATATTATCATATGAATACTGAACTCCACCCGCGAGGGGAACTATAGTGATGGGACCCACGGAATACCTTAAGTGTAGTATGTTACATTACTTATTATATATATCACTATATCAGTATTATCACCACTATTTTAATTTTGTTCCGTCTCGCTTATTGCTACAAATAATTCGCATGAAATGTCGACACGCGTTTAAAGTAATATTATGATTCGTACGCATAGAATAGCAGCCGATGAGACCATATAGTTTCGATTTTAGATTTTTCCTGGATTCGCAAGACTCGATATTCCTCCGTTCTTCTTCTCTCTGCCGATACACATCAACTATATATAGCCAATTAGCCTTTAGGTGTTTATATTATATAGGTACGTAATATTATACTTATTATAGTGCAATACTGTTTATATTGCATTTAATCGCTTCCTGTGTACGAGAGTTACGGTTCTTTATAGAATTAGCCGTTTATAGGCGTGTGCGTTGTGTGTGATGCATGCCGACAAATAAAATGCTATTTACCTATAAATCGGTAACCGTTTTCCGTACGTATATACCTGAAACATAAGGTATAATAATTAATAATACGATGTTTAACCGGCAGCAGCGCATTACACGCGTCTCGTTCGATTTTCCTGTTACGTGTTGTATAAAAGTAAAAACCGTTTTGTACAACTGCACACAGTATAGGTAGGTACACGAAAAGTTTATAATGTCGATTAGGTAAATAAAAAATAGATCTCACTACACATATTATTATTGCGTTTTACGTTGCATATTGTCTTGACGGGTTCGTGTCTGGTACACGTTATTGTTTTTTTTTTTGTTTTTTTAAATCGCGAATAAAGTTAATTGCTTTTTTTTACTCGGGTACCTACATCCATACTACCTACCGACATACCTGTATAAATATTTTATATCGTGTATATTAATGATTTTGCCGGAACAATACAGCCAACGCATATATTTCTGTTGCGAGAAAAGACCGCACGAGCCCGCGAGGGTTACATTTTTTTTTTTATAAAAGATTCTAAAGAATTATTGCTGCGTCGATCTGGCTATGAGATATAATATAATATGCACCGAGATTAAATATTAATTATTTTAATTTATTGCACTTTTGAATACTATCCTCACGGCTAAACGACAAAATATAATCAAATCTGAGATTATATTTTATTTTTTTTTCTCATCCTATTTATAGTTTAAAGCGTAGGTATAATATAATATTATTATTACAAATACAACTTTATTATTATTATAGTTAGGTACCTATCAACTACATAATGTTATTATGTATGTTTATCAAAATATCACGACACACGATATCAATAACAATGTACGGCTTTCCCGAGTTGAAAATTGTTTCAAGAACGTTTATCGCTAAAATTCTTATATTTCGGCTGGATTTTGGTTGAAAACGAGAATATTTTGCAGATTTTTTTTCATAATAGTATACTTAGCAGAGTAACAGTCTTGTATATATATTATAATAATACCTATACGATGTATTTTTTGTCCGTTTAAACAATAGTATTTCCATTGATTGTTCGGTTGAATGGAATTTTCAAAAAATATTATGCATTATGTTACCTACTTGTTTGTTGTCACAAATCCACATATTCATTCATCCGTATCTTTTCAAACAGTGTTATTTCTCATTTATAGAAACGCTAAATTTATTGTAACAGGCTATTATACGCACAGCTGGGCTGCAGAGAAATTGCCTCGGTTAGTTTTTTTACTGATTATCTGTATAATTTTATAATAATTGTCCCCGTAAAATATGTTAATAGTACCGATTCATAATTTATTCTAGGAAAATAAACACCTAATATTCATTGTGTATGCGACGATCATAAAAAAAAATCAATTTTTAATCAGTCTAATCGTATATGGAAAAATCCAATTTAAAAAACTTGAATGATAATAAGTAAAACTATAATAATATACAAACCGTATCAGTCGCATGTAATTAATATAACTATTGTATAGTTAATAAATATTTAGCAACTATAGCCGAATAACATATGTATTATTACACCCGCCTTCTCTCGACGAAGAAACATATTTTAAATTATATTAAAGCCAACAATTTTTTCAAATACTTCTACTTGCATAAATATTAGTAGGATGTATAGAATACATTGTGGCGTGATGAATTTTTGAATTTTTGAAGTCTTGATGAATTTTTTTACTTAGAACATAGATAATATTCTGTTAATTTGAAGGTGCCGCGAACACGATTTTATGTTATACTGTGTTATATATATATTATATTTTTATATCAAATATTATGCGTAGTTGTGAAATGCGAATTAAGAAATATCCGAGCAAGATTGAAAAAAGTAAAACCAGATTATGAGTTATAGTTGAAATATTAAATTTTTTGACGTCAGTTATGTTTGTCATGAGTGAAACGTATCATTACTTAATTTGGTAATTGTTATTTATTAGTGTGTGTGCAAAACTAGTTAGTAGGTATGTATAGAGAGTTAATGTGTTTAATGTACTTACTGAAACATGATTTACCAAATTGTTTTGATTTAAACTGGTCATTAATTTATTGATAAATTGATCGATATACATTTTATTATTATACGTTATACATACCAATTATTACCAGATAAATTATCTAATAAATTATTCAACATCTGGTACGTATTTAAAATTCAAGGGCCCGAACTAAATGAATTGCCTCTATATACATAATATCTATATATTATTAAAATAGCCGAACAAAACCTACCAAATGAATCGTCAAGTCATCTCGTGTGTTCGATATAATAGGTGCCTACTATATAGTTTTCAAAACGATAACGTTCTGCTGCTCCGATTCATCTCGATACTTTTTACGGTCATGTATTACGGCATGATATGGCATATTATTATGTATAGTAGCTACTCTTATCAACTACCATCGTCCCATCTGTGATAGAACATTTTTACTCTTTAGAGCGAACCGTTTAAAATATAAATTATGGTAACAATTTCTTCTCTACTGCGAAATTGTCACGCGAAAAATAGTAATTGGCGGGAGGGTGATAAAAGGAGCACCCTTTCAGGCATATAGTCGTAATATGGAGTGGCTCAGCTGTGTCCCCTCTTGTATTCAACCGAGGGGGCAATGCTGTCTTTTTGCCCCCCCCTCTCTCCTGTCATAAGTTAAGATTAAATGTACCGTTTTATGGGCGTTTTTTTTTTTTACTTAGTACTTACCTGTAAGTTTTTGATTTGACATTTAATTCTTGTCGATTATAATACCTACGACTTACTAATAAGTAGGGTTCGGATTTGAAGGCAAATGCCTTTCTTTTATTAATCATAATAGAAAAATAATTTTTATACAAAAATGTGTTTCATTTAATTTCTTAGAGAATGGATCTTTTTTTTTTTTGCCTTTTTTTGCCTTTTTACTTATAAATGCCTTTTTGCCTTTTTTTACCTTTTGTTTATTTTGCATTAAATTAACTGGTATAACTCAAGTAAGTTAATATTTAAAATTGTTTTTAATTAATTCTTAGGACAAACCTGGTTAAAGAAAAAGGTACCTAATCTATTTATACAAAATAGCATAAACTTAATGTAGTTTAGTATTCATGCTCATTTTTAATTTGTATTTTTTTCAAAATGTGTGCATTTAAAAGTGTTTAAAAAATGTTCACTATTTTATTTTGTAGTATATTTATGAATTGCCTTTTTATATAAATTAACTGCCTTTTTTTACATTTTAAATGCTTTTTTTATTGATTATATTGCCTTCAAATCCGAACCCTACTAATAACTATAATACCCGATGCTTTATTTATCGGAAGGGGTAATGCCCCCCCACCCCTTTTCAATATCTATCTTATGGATTTTTATTCTTACCGCAGACCGGCCCCTCAAGAATTTACCCCAGATTACGCCCATAATGCTGTCAGGTATATATTTTGACGCCATTTCCATAGCGATCCGACGTAAGAACACGACCGGGCCGCGCAGAGCTTTTGCGGAATTCTTAATGGCGACTCTTCATAACAACGAGATAATTGCGTATTATTTCACCCGACGGTGCGAATACGATCTGATCAAAAACCGTTGCAGAATCTATCTCGATTTTAGTTACTCAAACCGTCGTATATATATATATATATCGCGTAGGTATATAACATATTATACCGGTATATATATATTGTACCGCACCGCGTCGTCGTCAGAAGACTTCCAATGTTCGCGCATTGTTTGCGGGTTTTTGACCTCGCGCCACGATTTTCTCGTCCATTATTGGCGGTCTCGACGTGTGTAAGCTGCTGCTCCTGCCGCTGCAGTGCACGCCGAGAGTTGTTTTTCTCTCGAAAATCGCATCCGCTGTGGAAACCCTATAGTCCGGACTGCGGTAATCGTCGTAACTTGGTCCGAGTCGTATGAATAATATAATAATATATTATATCGTACGACGGAACGTCATCGCATTGTTATATTATTAGCCGGTGCAGACGAGGGACCGATAATCGATTCCGCGGAGTTACGCTACGCCGGAGGAGTGTCCCACCGGTGCGGTGGCGGCGGCGGCAGCGGTGTAGAATGAGATGGAAATAATAATAATAATAATAATAAACCCGGGCACGACCTTGCGACGCTCGCGCGCGCGCCCGCCCCGAGCCTCCTCCTAGTAGGAATGTTGCGTTGTCGTCGTCGTCGTCTTCGCCACCGCCGAGCGGAGGTGGGGCGACGGACTACGATCGCGGACGTGTTGCGGCGCGACCGCGATCGCCGATCAGTCCGGTTACCGCGCGGCGTCCGTTACCGTCGTTCAGTCGTTGTTCGTTACCGCAGTTACTTTAATAATAATATACCGTCGTTCGTTACCGTCTCCGTGTCGCGATGTCGTCGTCGACGCCGTCGTCCGACGGTCGCGCGTCGCCGAGATAAGCACTCCTCGTAGGTTCCGTCCTCGAAATATCGTCGGTGTCGCGGACAGGAGAGCTATGTTGTCTCGCGATTCGTTCCGCGTGGACCGCAACCGCCGCGACGGTCCGTCGGCCGCCGAGCGCGCGGTGGCCCTTTTGTCGGTGCGCGTCTACGACAGGCCCGACATGGACGTGCCCAACTATTACCCGGGCAGGCCGTCGTCGTCGTCGTCGGTCGGCCGTCTCGCCGCGTCCTGTTCGTCCGCGTCCGCCTCGTCGGCCACCGGGCCGAGGCGAAACGCGGCCCACGTGCACAGGAGGGCGTGCGCCCGGCGGGGTGCCATGCGAAGGGCGTACTCTACGCCACCGTCCAAAGTACGTACCAGTGAACCGTATAATATTATATTATTCCGTAGGTGTTCGGTTGTACTTAATAGTGTACACCTATCACGGTCAACTCGTATTATTGTAGATACGAGGTGTACAGTTGAAAAATGGTAAAAGCGCGATATTCTGATCGCATTTACCTCTATATTTGTGTGTGTAGTATGTGCAACTCGCAAATGTGTGCACATTAATTTGAAGTTCGCACACCCAAGGTTGACATATTATTATATACAAAAAAAAGGCTTATAATAATCAAATATAATAATTGAGAGATATCTCATCTGACCCGACAGGTCCTTTCACATACGCTCTTTAAGAAATAGCAGTAATAAGCTTCATGATGAGTTCGAAGTTATCGATCGCACTGCTCCTCGTGCCCGGTCTAGGAACATTATTGCACATGGATTTGAATTATGTACAGAAATTGTTGTCTTCACTACAAATTCGGATTGAAAATGAAGGAGTGTCTTATCCAACTATGGTCGTTTCTCATAATCAGATAGCAGTTGAATAGTTGATACATGATTTTCTTTGCGGAAAAAATAAATTCTAAATTTAAAAAGAACCTCGCTTTACTCGATTTTCACACTCGCTTCAGGTACCACGTGACTCTAGTGGGCGGGCTGCGGTCATCTAAGAACAATTATTAGCTATAATTGGTTATATATTATACGAATATTCTATCGTATTTGTATATTATAATATATAGTGTCCTCCCGGTGTCAATGAAATCGTCGATCACCGATCAGTCACTCATCACTTCGGGATATCGACAGTGCACGTCTTAAACACAAATAGCTGTACGTAAATTGGCGCCTATATATTAGGTCAGTGGTGCGGTTAACCGGGACCGCGGATACCACCCTGCACTGCGGTGACCGCGTTTAAAGGGCCGATTACCTCCAGCTATATACTAGCGCGTTGATACACGAACCGCAACCACGGTCGTGACACCGCGAAAGTCGAGAACGATAACATTATAATAATAATAACGTTTATTTATTCGGTCAGTCGCGTGTGTGGGAGGACTTTGGGCGGATATCTGTTTTGCGCACTTTACATGTGGCGGCGTACCTACATGCACATAAATATAATTATTCGCGAATGTGATACTCGATTTTTCTTTCGCGTACCTACGAATAATATAATTAGGTACGTTATATTATACACGTCATCCCTTCCTACGCTCGAAATTCCTCAGCCAACGGATCGGTTTTTTTTATAACATATACACGACGCAAATACAAGCGAACACCCGTGATGGTGACGAACTTCGCTAGCTATACCTAATATATACCGCGGTATTGCAGCAGAGGTGGAAAATCCACGGGATCGATGAATACTGCAGTAGACGAATAGAATACAATATAATAGTATAATAATAATATCGTAATAATATTATGATACAGTCGTCGGCGAGCGTTTTCTGCAGACAGAGTAGTATTATAATATATGAAAACAAAAATACAAAATAATAGACGAACCGCCGTGTACTACCGCGGACAACAATATAATAATATCATCATCTACTCGTCTAGGTATAATAATATAATAATATCTTTTTATCCGGTGACAAATAACAAGCGCGGATATTCGGCGCGCCGACGTGTAGTTTCTATTTTTCGACTTTATTGTCTATATAATATTATAACGATAAACAAATAATAATTTCACCGGCCTCACAATGATAAAACCGGGCGTTTATTATACCCATGTATACATTATCATTATTATTTACTACCTATACAGGTGTACCTATACAGCAGGGATACGCGAGTGTAACGACATCGGAAACGTGAAATTATTTTTGTCATAGTCTTATGGCACAATATTATATATCGTACTATTTGTATAATAATATGTGTATGATCCGTCGTCCGAGAGATTAAAACGTAATTAACGACCAGCGGCGGCGGCGGCGGCGGCCTAGTTCTACTTTATTAGAACGTATTTTTTTTATTTTACGATTATACATCCGAAAAGGGAAAACTATATATCTGAAACGATTTCGGAACTAAGTACATAATGACATAATGTACCGCAGTAGCTGGTACCCTTGGATACTGCTGCACTGTTTATGGGTACTGCTCCTTTTATTCGGTACGTATAATGGTACATATATGACGTACGGCCATGTGTGCGTAATAATAATTAATAGCATATACCTACCTGTTGACCCTATAACGGTCCGATTCTTCCATATCGGAAAACCGCGTGTCAGCGACGACGATGACGTCGTCCTTCGTAGTGTCCGAATGGTTAGCCATCGACGATTTTTTTTCTTCTGTTTTTCCACTAGCACCCACGCCACTGTATGATGTCTGCATATTATAATACAATAAAATAATATTAAAGTACAATAATTCTTGCAAATAATTGTCTTGTCGATCCGTGTAATGGCCGATGAAGGACGGATGTATATAGGTTAGTTTAGTTTAGGCACATACATATGCGTTGTATATTATATCATGTGTTACGGGCAAAATGTAGAAAATGTTCAACATTTTAGGGGCAATATGAGAATGACCGTTTAAACAATTTCCATATTTACCGGGTGATTTAAAAAAAAAAAACGACGATTTATCGGGAGCCATGTTAACTTTTAAAAAACTATTCATATAAACATTATATTCGTGCACATTAATTATGTTGTCGGGTTGCACGAAAATGTAAAAACTATCGAAACTACGATATTCGGGTTTAATTTTCTGTCGAAGTTTATTACCTACTAATTATATAGCTGTATGCAAAGTGATAGTCAATAGTGGTAGTGGTCACCTGTTTTTGATTCACCATCGACTATCAAGGTAATAAAGATTGTGAATGCACTCGATAATAATATTCTTATATCCATCTTTATTTTTATAATCTCGAGTCTTCACGTTTCCAATTATTAGTCTGTCATTACTATATCGTTCTGGTTACCTGCCTATGTACTTATATATTACACATTTTATAATTGCGTACAACTTAAAAAGAAGTTCACAAAGCAATCAAAATCATAGTCCTGTCTTTTTTGAAACCCGACTACCACCCTGTGCGCGCACTAAACTGTGACTGAAAGTATCAAACTGCAATAATTATTATCGATATCATTAAGTGCGTAATGCGATTGATTATGGACGAGGTGCAAACTGCTAAGCGCAAAAGCTGCAGCTGAACGCCTTACAGTGACTCGAAATGTCGCGATGGAAACCATCAGTCTTGCAATAAATATAATAAGAAAATATAAACCGGGGGACGGAGTGGCCGACGCCGGTTCGATATCTCGGCCATTTTTCTTCGGGCAAGTCACGGTGTCCGGAGAATAAGTGCCGCCATCCGGGCATGGCAGATACCTACGGGTGCCCAAATCAAAAATTCTGCCAAAACAAACACACACGTGTAAACCAATCTACAGTACCCTCCCCTACAGCACCACAGGCTAAAAACATAGTAGTTGAAGCCTTAACCCTAATAAAAAAATAAAAATAATATATATTTAAACCGTTATTTTAAAAAATGTACTATATTATACTTATATACAAAACCAAAGTATAACTTCATGATAATATTTTTAAATCGCCCTCGGCGACCACGACGGCCATTGTCTAAAATACCCGAAACCTATATTATACTCATGTGTGATATTAATTTCTATACGTTTGACCGTCTAGACTTTGCGCGTTCCACACATTTCCGGGGTGGTTGAAAAACGCCGAGTTTTCTCATTTTCCCGCAACATATATTATATATATATAATAAATATTATAATATTAAATACATTAATAATATGTATCATAGTGATGAATGAAAATCGATTGCGGTCGCCGCACATCAGCCTTCGGATCGCCATTCGAAAAAAATAGAAACAAATCGTTTCACAAACACTTGAATATTCCGTATACGGCGTGTACGAGCGGGCGTTCGTCTACGCCCTTTTGGGTTACCAAACGTCCTTGTCCCGAACCGTGGTAGCGGCTACGCTCCGAGGTGTCACGAACCCGTCGCGACGCCTATAATATAATATTATTTTATATCCTCCGCCGTGATTATAAATAGCGATTTATAATGAATATCGGTATATAGGTATGTCGGAGTCGTGTGGGGGAAAACGAAAAAAAAACTCGTTGATATTATTATAATTTATACAATAAAATAGGCATAGGCGCGCATATTATATTATGATTAAATGTATATTACGATACGGCGGCAACGACGGCTGTCTGTCGACACATATTTTGTGAATAAAATCTTATAATTGCACGACCTGTCAATGCTCGTGTAGACCAGCGGCTCTCAGACTTTTTTCTTCGAGGTGCAAACACCCAACCCGCGGTGGAACTCAAAAAGTCAGAAATTTCGAGTTTAAAGAAAAAATCATGATAATCACGAAACCCTATTTTATATATGGCTCCGTGGATCACAGTTTGAGAACCGCTGAAATAGACAATATACGTACCTACAATATATTTATAGGTATGACACATTTTTTTTATACGTTAAATTCGATCATATAATATCAACAAAAAATGTTCGTGTCCGCTAAATTAATAAAAAAAATTAATATATTTTTAAATTTTTTCCACAGCGGTGGCTGAATTTTTTGCCCACGCCGCTCTCGTTTTCATAATATTGTATTGTCATTATTAATTATGCCGATAACGATATTATAAACATTATTATGTTTGCCCATTCTTCAATCTATATAATATTGTTAAATCACATATTATAATCCTACGATCTCACACGCCTTCTCTGGTCGTTTCGCGAAGCGACAAAATATGAAAATGTTCATAAGAATAATAATATATTACCCATTATATTATATTATTTCTTTTTCTTCGCGGTGTCATGGTGTGAAATCATAATAATAGCCTCCCTATACACGTGAATATTGTACACTTTGGACAGTACACACACACACACGCACATATTTACTTGGCTATACTTAAATATTATATTATACCTATATATGTATATCGTATGAGTAAAATATTAAATACATA